GTGTGTAGATACATCTTGCTTTCTATTTGTTACGAATCTTTCAAAATCTTGCAGGATATTTATTCGCAAAACTGATTGACTTTTCGTTGGTGTAGAGATGGCCTCAATATTGCTGCAGGCTAATTGTAAGTAGATCCAATCTTCTAACCCCAACTGAACCCACGTGAGTTCACTCGTTCTGCACTTGAGACTTGTCCTGTCAGCCTTGTGCTTTGTGATAGGCTTTCGAAAAAGGAGGAAACAGATTGCTCTCGAGATACTTCGGACTAACTGCTCATGCGTGATTATTTGGTGGGAAAAAGACTGTGAAGAGCACTGTTATTTGCAGCTCGTGTGTTAGGTTAGTAGAAAACATCACCAGCTATTTCGACTGAGGTGGGAAACTTCAGATTTAAAAGGAACCTTGTTAGGCAACTCCGTTCGATTGTCTAACAGACGGATCTATGTACTGGTAAGTATAGCTGAAATGAAATTTGTCCCAAGACAACAAGCTCTCGAATCAACCTTTTGAATTTCCAAACAAGCGTCTCAGGGAAATTTATCCAAATTGCAATTTTTGCAATAACTCCGACCTCTCTGAATTTGTTTAAATTGTTTAATGAGCCAGGTACTTTGACAATAAGTAGGAATAAGCTTCATAATTTGCTTTTTGTGTGGTTTGTTTGGCACTGAATGATCCAGGAGTAAATTAACCCTTCTACAAAAGCAATGAAACGGTTGTTTCAGTGAATCAATATTCTTGAAATTACGCAGAAACACCATGCATGCAACTTAGACCCGATGTAGCATCGCGGAGCAAAAGTTTCCCTTTTTCGGCACAAGGTTTCGTGTGGATCAGTTGAGAGAAACTGGTATACTTGTGAGGTTATTACAGAGGTAAGCCCTTAGAATTCAATTTTTTTTCACTCAAACGGCCAGAAATGTGACTGTACCTCGTGATTAAAGGTGTGGCGAATTCTGATCTGTATTAAACTGGAGGCAGTTTTCTAGTGAGTGCCTTTAGAATGGTGACACCATGGGCCACTGTTGGGGATCCACGATTCCCCAAGATTGCTCGTCGTTGGTTTCTGGCACCATTTACATTAATTCACTAACATGTGCTCTATTACGCTTTTTATCAGGTCAAGGTCGAACTTGACTTGAATTAGTTTCACTTTCGACACTCCACTCCGCACGTGGCTGACGTGATTAAAGCTCTCTACACGAGCTCTGGTCTTGTTCCTGTATAAGCGTGGGAAGGTCGGTTCTAGCGTCAACAAGGAATCTGGTACCGTTAGAATGGTTTTCTCTTTCTTAACAAAAGCTTACAGATCAAGAGATTTGTGTTTGCGTCTTTCGAAGCCATATTGAGGCCTGAGACAGGGATAACTCGGTCGTTTACTAAGTGGATCGGCAATTGTGCAGCAGTGCTGAAATGTGTATGCGTGTTTATAAAATTCAAGGGAGAATAAATGCCTGTTGATGACCCTAAACAAACCTGGCCAGTTGACAGATGAAATAGGAGATATGGGAAGGACTAAATGCACAGTCGTGGGTAGGATGTAAAAGTGCACGCTTGAACTACAAACAGGACTTGCGAATGCGGACGTGAAATAACACATGTCAATTCACGATATCTTACTGCCCCGAGGCTACATGCAACTCCACTCTGACACGGGCTTTTCACGATGGTACAGTTTTGTATTTCGTTGTTTCAGAAACCATTTTCCTAGCTGAATACCTTGAGCTGGCTGTTAATTTTAAAACTCACCGGCAACTGGTGCGCTTGCTCGGTCGCTACCCCCAAACTCGCTGGCTAAACGCACTTCACTCAGACGTGTTTTAGACGCCAGTAAATTAAACCCCAGGTATTTACGACCGCAATGGCAGGATGTAAACAAACAGGTTCGCTGTGCGGTAGCCTTTGATGCGATTTATCACTAAATGAGATTGAGTCGGTTAAAGTAGTTGGTGCGAATTCCTTGAAAATAATGTGGTGTGAGGCTCACAGATCAGCATTCCGTTAGTGCTTGGAGTAACCCGTTAAGGGAATACCCACGTGACATCTATTTAACAAGTCTTTTTACTAGCCGGAGGGAAAAAAACTTGAAGTTGGTCGGAAAATGGCTCACACCGTCATGAAAGCACCACTGCAAAGTCATTTAAAAAGCATCGTTCCCCGAAGGGGACTTTGCTAACCACACTACTCAGTGTTGCTAAGGCAACTGATATGACTCAGCGGTGTTTGTCATGACATGTAAGGAGAGTTGCAGGAGAGAAAACGCATGAAGCTTATTTATTCATCAATGTATTTAAGAACGCGGCAGCTACCTCTTAAGCACGGTCTTATTATGTTGTATTTGAAATTTAAAGTATCGGGTGATAGTTTATTGTCAATACCGCCTCATGTATGGGTGAAAATTTTGCACAGGTGAATGGCATTTAGGGAAAATGCAACAGAACTGCGGTTCAATTTTCGCAAATTCGGTTTCAAAGTTACTGTCTTTTCAGAATTATTCATCTGAAGTGGATTAATACCAAGAAAACGTCAAAAGCATGCAAAGCAAGCAGCATACAGGACAGCAATTAAGAAAATGTTGTTAAAAACGGTGGTTTTAACAAATGTAGCCCCTTTCTACAGTAAAACATGCATCTTCTCTTTATGATTCCCTCCCTTTTCTCCTAAGTTAATTGTATTTTTGCGATTTAGGTCAGACTTCGAGGTGAGACAAGGAATTATGATTGATTGATCGAACCCAAACTTTCGCAAGACTGAAGGTGAACAAGAAGGCCGTGATGTTTATATCATGTCCAAGGGCAAGAGGAAGGGTTGTCTTGGTAACCTTAACCTCCCTTCGATTTCACATCTATTTGCTGCAACACAGGTCGCAGAACGTAAACATCAGTTGTTAGGTAATTCTACACTGACCTTTACACTTTCAAGTCGAAACAACGCGACAGAGGTGGTCTCCCCACACCTGCCTTAACACAAACTTTATGCACAAAAAAGCAGCTAAAGGTCAACGTGAAGAATGTTACCTGATTGCGAGTGACTGCTAATGACCTAGTCTCGCAGCCTACCAAATAATGAGATCATCAAGAGACCGTCATATGGGAGGGGGGTGGAGCTTTCTGTTCAAACGGTAGATTTTTTCTGTGACAAAAATGGTATTGTAGTGGACTGACAGCCGCCCCGCGCGTGTGCGTGCATGAAGGCCCGTGTGTAGCGATGACTCATCCCCTTTCGTTATTGATTTTTGTCACCATTCGCCTGTTACGCACGCGTGCTCATACGCACACAAGGTCACTTGGCTGGTTCGACTCTAATAAACGGTCGTGTTCTCTGTCGCCTCCTTTTTCCTATCCTCGGGTAGCTACGGGCTGTTAACTAGAGGGTTGTAAGGTAGTGCTAAATCCTCTAGTCACTACAGTATGTAATGGGATGTAAGGTTGCCAATTTACACTAACCAGACTGGACTTGATAAGCTGCAAATGCACAGGCGACCACCTCCAGCTGGCAGACATCGAATAATTTCATGCTATTTCACCATATCGAGATCAACATACCCGTTTTGCAAATTCTGAGTGCGCATTTTGCTAGCAGTCTGCGTGAATTATTTGTTACTTCAATTGCAATCCCGATCTTTGGATCACGTTCAAATTCTACTAATACAAGCCTCTCAATTTAGCAAAAACACCACGTGATTGCGTGGAATAAAAGTAAGATGAATTTGCTCGTTTCTTGAATTGGACATGTAGCACAAGTGACTTCAAAATGAAGAGCTTGGCATTCAGAATCAACTTCCACGGTCTGATTTAAGCTATAAAAAACGATACTCATTGAGTAACAGCGACTAACTGCGGTGTAGTTAGATCCAAGCATAAAATTGGTCTAGGAGTTACTGAAAGTGCATTTGTACTCCCGTTTTAGCAGATTCCAATTTAAACAAGCTCCATGGAATAACACGGCTCTCTTTTGCATGTCGAGGATATTCAACTAGCAAAGTTTTCGTCTGATCAGATTGTTTACCTACATTCAGGGTTTACTTCCAATCAGAAGTCGATTTTAATTTGATTTCTGGCGCTTTAAAGAGACAAGTTTTGCAAATTTAAACGAGCCCACGTATCGTGGGTTTATGTATTCAGCTACACATTCATGAATACAGGCCAACCGTAACAACGCATTAAGTTCCCTTAGTCATATGTGGTTAGTAGTACCAATTGGTTAACAAAGCAGCTGTGTATTTCCTAGTCACGCGTTACGCCAAAGTTAACACAAGCTACTAATCCTCCATAAGCCTTGGTGCTAGTCTGTTACGAGCCCAAGTAATGATTTTACTCCGGCCATCGAAGGCGGAAATCGCTGTAGGCAGAAATCGTCTTCCACAGTGAAACTTAACCACCAGCACTCAAGCGTGCAAGGTCCCACCGTTTTCCTGTTCTCCAAAAAAGAAGACGTCTGCACACACGACGGCGTCATGAGGGAACTGCACGGGAGTCGACACGCCTAAGCACCTTCCAGCCGTGCAAGGGAAGCAGATGAGAACCGACCCCCATGTCGACGCTTTCAGGGTGGGGGCTGGTGACACCCTCGAATCCGACCGTGGAACACCACTACCCAGCGAATAATCACATTCAGTGGAACGCGAGGCAACAAGCGCGATTTGTCGAGGTGGGAGGCCACTGCACCCAGATTCAAGACGCACCTCTGCTAAGCAAACAATCCGCTTACATGTCCATGATTCGCGCAATTATGCTTCGATTATGCACAATTTATGGAAGAATGCAATGGAGAATTTTGCCTTGATAAAATGAGAGAACGGACACCCACTAATTACGTAATACGAGTGCCACGGGAACTAAATTATCCAAGGTGCATTAAAAAAAGAACATACACTTTTGGGGCCAAAATTTATTATCATTATAGCGCTCTTCATTAAAGCGCACATTTAGCAGATAACAAGAGAATGCAAATAGATAATAAAACATCGTTTTCGAAAAAGACCTGAGATGGTGACATCCTAGTTGTCGTCGTTCTGCTGCTGTTGCTGCTGCTGAAGTGTAGGGGCCTCAGCACGCCTGATACGGTACAGATTGAAAAACCAAGGCAACTTGTCAGCCTTCTTCTGAAGGGTCTCTATTGAGTCGACGTCGGAGGGAAATACGTCCACCTGGAAGTCATAAAGAAGACTTCTAGTTTGGATTCATCAGGCGCCCAAGGAATGTTTTGGGTGTGCAATTACAACCTGTCAGTGGCCGAGGTTGCAAAAAACACGGATCCCAGCATGAGCATCGCCATGGCGGCGCTCATGTAAAACGTTCGGCACGAGCTAAGGTCTACCGGAGGGTACCTGGGGGTGAGGTGCTAGAACAGTTGTTCTGGGCTCGTCATTTTGCCCGGAGTTGAACATGTTTATCAGATCGTGAATTAGGGTGTCTGACACTTTCGAAGAACATCCAGTTTGCTGTCACAACCTGGGGGGTTAAATACACACACACCCCCAGGTTATAGCATTAATTGCAAATCTAAAATTATCCTCAAGTAGGGGAAACTGGTGGCTGCGCTTTGAGAAGCAGCCTTTTCGATTGTGATGTTGGGATACAACAGATTGACGGCGCATTTCAGGTCACGAAACGAGATTCGGCAAGGTTGGCCACAAGAGTAAAAGAACCACAAAAGTTAATCGCTATTGGCCACAGTTCCATCGATTGTGACGATAGGAATAAACGATTCGAGCATAAATTGAATTAGACCACGAGCCAGAGACAATAGGGTAGGATGGCTTGTCAGTGCAGTGTGACACCACCCCCTCCTGTCGCAGGAGAAAAGGATTCTGCCCTTCCCAGACCCATCGACGAGGGGAAGGGGACATCCAAGGGGCATTAAATTGCCGTTCCCACCATGATCGTCCTAAGTGGGTTGAGCTCATGAGAAAACAACAGTAGTTAAACACCACATAAAACTGTTTATAGCTGCCAGTAACTGATCTAGGCAAGCGCTAAAAACTGCCCCATTAAAAACCATCCAAAATAAACCTTTCAGAGAACCGGCATTGAGTACACAATCCGGCTAGGTAGCAGTGATAAAGCGCACAGAAAAAAAAACATCCCACAAACTAGTAGCTAACGTTCCAAACTACCTGAAGTAGGTAGCTAGCATCTATCAAGGCATCATTTTACTCATCAAAAAAGCGGTCGAGATTCACCACTTGTTTGGCCATAGATGAGCCTAGGCATTGAAGCTGAAAAACCCCAGACAGTTGGCGACCGTCTATGATGTTTATGATGGGTTGGCGAAGAGATTCTATCAAGACGAGACAGACTGGGCCTACTTCAGGGTTAACGAACACGTCTCTGAGCAGCTTGGTGGACACAAATCGGGCTTTGTACAATACTACCAACAACCTTCTAGCGCGTTTTTGATCCCCTTGGCTAACCCTGAAGACGCGTCCAGCTTCAAGTCACGCGGCTTCGTTTGAGGCATACGAATCACCTTTAGGAAATATCGATCAGCGGGGTTATAGCAAACCCATTGAAAACACTACAATAGGTCGTCGAGCTACAAGCCAAAATGGTGGTAGAATGTGACAGAATTTATCTGTAGAAAGACGCATTGTCCCACCCAGTTTAATGCCTTTAACGTGTTAGTCGAGAAACAAACTAGGGGGCGAGAGCAGAAACAGAAAAAAAACGACTTGGGGGTTACAGTATAAGCTCCGCAAAAACAATCTTAGTAGCAGTGGTGATGGGGAAGGCGAATTTGGCTTCTAAACTGGCATTTTTGCAACTCACAAACTACCCAATTAATACACACAAAAGAGACGTTTTTGAGTCCCCTTATAAACAGGTTTTTATTGTCGATATTTGGTGATTAAATGTTGAGAGGATTTGTTGAAATTTCATTTTAAATAGGTTTCTGATTCTGGTAAGAATGGGGTTTGTGGCTACATTTTTCTAATCTGTAGGCAAATACTTGTACAAGACTACGAAGGAAATTTGGCTGGTTATAATCCCCTCCATGATTGAGGACGATCTGCCTTGGAATGAAACGCGTTTATAGCTTAGAATCAATCCAGGATCAGCTCACTTGGATTAATGGTAAGACGTCTACTTTTGCAAGGCAGACAAGATTTCAACAGATGAATCGATACGAATTTGTCGTGTTTTTCTTTAGGGTATTTGTGGTTCAGGTAAAGACCCCACTCTCTAACTTGAACGTGCCATCTGATCGACAGCGTTCTTCCACATCAGTGGCCACCTTGTAAAATGGTAAAGACATGTTACAAACTGTTCCAAGTGTGGTGCTTTCAAGGTTGGATACAAGGCCTTCTTACCCCCGGCTCACGGTTTATAATAAATGAACAGTGGATTCAATAGTGCGACTCGATGACAGTAACCCGCAGTCTGCAGTTGCATTCGAGTGAATAACGGTCTTTGAGAACACCTATATCAACCCATCCGTCATCATCATAAACAACAACTATTATCAACTGCTGATGCTGTGACTTGACACTTATTTTCAATAACCTAGAATAAGTACACCATCTACAAGGTGCATTTTGTTGTGCGTCACTGTTCTTTTCGTTCACAACCACAAAGAGGGCTGGATTTCAGCGTTATCAGGAGAACGTTATACAAGTTGAAGTATGGATCTATGTTTTCAATACTGACACAGCATCTTCCATTTCTTAATGGTCCCAAAAATGATTGATTCGCGTCGTCAGAAGCTGGCATTAACCTCAAGAAGAACGAAAATAATAAATGAAATGAAAGAAACTCAAGTACAGATGATGTCGTCATGTATTTGGGGATTGGGAAAGCATGTACCCGATTTGAAATTAGATTAAAAACAAAGCATTTTCGTAAAAAAATGGCGGTTATTAAAAGATAAGGTACTCCCCATCATTTCCTATGACTGTCTTCAAAAGTTTGACGAGTTTTTAAATACCTTCTTTGCAGAAACTGAGTGATTTCGATTTAGGGAAGACAGTCATAAGACCAATTTTGACTTCTTCAATGGAATCGTCTTCTTTTGTAATTCATGGTGTTTTGCAAAGAATAGAACAAACTCAATTAAGGTCACGGAAACCTAGTTGGAGCAGGAGGATCTCCCATTGCAAGTTGAGCAACAAGTGGTCTAATGTTGTCATGCTGAGAGACGAAAGCCATGTTCACGTTTCACTTGGATTTCAACGCTGAGTTTAGCTTTGTGCTGACAGTACCTCGCTGTAGTCATTTTTTGGCCCCGTAGAACAACAACAAATACATAACACCTTCATTCGATGCAACCCAGCACTTCCCACAAATTCTCCTCTTTCTCTTTCAAGCTCCCTGACGCTTTTTCCTACAACGGTACGGCACACACAAAGCACGTTTCATCGCCAGCTATGACCGGATCCAGGAAAAATACGCGTTGTTGACGGAGGGGAATAACTATGCAAAACGTCGAAACGTGAGCAATTAGTTTCTCAAATTTCGAAGCGCTTCTAAGTCGATTTGTCAGCATCCAGTCTCGCAGTGATCTCTTCATTGGTGATCCGTGGAGCGTTTTTCGCTAAACCGCGGATCAAGTCAATGACTGAAAGTCACCCAGGATGAAGTTCCCCTTTAGAATGGATTGAGATCATTGCTTAGAAATCAGCTAAACCACTTTTCAACTGTTTGAAGAGCAGGAACAAAATCCAACTAAACAAGTTGAACAATTTTTTCTGCATTTTCAACACAATTTTGCTCGAATTGCATTTCTAGAATTATGCTATCTCTTAACATGATTATTAGAAGGAACGTAAATCGGGCATACGATTTCCGCACAAAAGTACAGGATGCCACCGCGAAATGTCGACACAACAAACCCTACATCCCCTTCGGCGGACTTGCGTTACACACACACACAGAGAGAGAGAGAGGAAGCAAGTAGATTTTTGCCATGCGAGCGAGGGTAAGATGGTGCACCTTGCAACCTCCTGCGGTAATCCTATGCGTCGAATCGAGGAATCAAGGCCCGTGATAAAAGATGGCCTCTTCCTGAGCATCTCCCGACTCCGTGTCTTGCAGCAAGGTGTACTTTTTGAGTCTGGCACCGTGGACACTGCGACTGCTAACCACTTTACTGCACAGACCGAAGGATGCAAAGCACCAACGCACCAGGCAAGCACATGAGCAGAGCGAATCCCTCATCTCTCGCACTCCGCCATCTTGAAAAACCGCCACGCAGCATAAACGCTGTGTTTAGTGGGATTTACGTTGGGGCTCAAAAGCAAGTAGAGTGTCTATTGAGCAGCCTTCACACTGGCATGCACCGGTTCTTACTGCAAATTCAATGGCGAAAATGGGATATCTCTTAAATTTCCAATCTACTCACTTTGATAAAGCAAATCACTCTTCCTTATGGGAATAATTTATTCGAAGAGGGAGGATTTTACAGGAATTAGTGCTGGTTTAACTTCTGCGATCAAGGTAAGGCGGGTTCCTATTTGGACCATAAAAAACTCGTTTCATAGCCAGACGAAGTTACAGGGGTCTCTCATCTATCCACGTGCACTTCGCCCACTCACGAACTCCACTTCAACACTACATAAGCGTAGTAGAACTCTCCACGTGTGGGACAACCGGTGCGGATTCTCCTGCACCAGTGATTTTCACACGAGCATGGCGATCGCTAGGAGTGAATCACTAAGACCTAAGCGAACACTAATGTGCATCACCCAAGGCTTTTACAATGCTCATTTACCCCTGTATACCACCCCATACCCCTTTCACACACTTGGCTAATCACGACTTGAATACACGCACGCGACAACAGCACAGCTTGGCTGAGACATCCAATAAACTGTTGAGTCTTTCTCTCCTCCGTCTCAATTTTTTCTTGGGTCCGCCGTGAAGTGCTTTGCCACACAATACGACCTTTCTTAAACTGCATCACAAACATTTAATTTCCCACGCCATAACTTTGGAATCTTGTAGACTATGATGCGCGCAACAAACTGGTGATTCCGCCACACCCTTTGCGCATTTCTGACCACCAAATCGAACCGTGTAAGATGTCAGATTTGCTAAGGACCCTCCTTCTGTGCTTCATAACAAATGCAAGACAAAAAAGCAAGTGGTTAAGGCTATTAGCCTGACCAAACAGGGGTTTACCCGGGGAGATTGCGTCGAGATAAACACTAAAGCTGCTCAGAAAACGCTTTGTGCAAAATACCATCAGGAAAAGGAACTCACGCCAGTCCTTCCATAGACATCAAGTCGGTAGGCGTTGTGATAGTGATCGATAACGCTGGGCCAATTGGACATCGTGAATGCGGCCAATGGAATTGAGAGGTAGAGACCCAGACGAAGCGATTCCATTTTCCAGCCCATGGTTAAGTCTGGAAGTCACACAGAATCAGAAGAAAAGGGAATTGAGACGCGGAAATCGACACAACACCCCACTCATCCCCAAATGCACACAGCCAACTTGGGTGCCAGTAAACTCGTCTGCCAATAACATCGACTGGTTAAAACGCCGTTACCGGCTACACGAAAGGCCTGATTAACACTGGATTTTGTGGGTTGCACTAACTCTGCTGGCTACTTCTGATACGTTGGAAAATATTTTTTTTTAATTTTAAACCTTTGGTGACATTTAATGTTGGAGCCCAAGGGGGGGCTTTGACGTCAGAAAGATGCCCTCAATCGCCACAGAAAACTGGCTGTCCAACGAACCACAAGACTTGCCTAAATTCTGGTGCGCCGGACATTGGATGACGATACGGTTTCACAGGAACTAAGACAGTGTTAAGAGTTCGCTCGTCTAGGTAAGACAATGTGTTGGGTAAATTTATTTTGTTGCCTTAAAACTTGTTGGCCATTGGCGGACATGGCCAACAATTCAAAGAGTAAAGGGCAGAAGTGAAAATTACGCATTGCGAGTAAAAATACGAAGATCTAGAGGCAAACTTCAGAATGGAGAAGAATGCGATTATAGAGCAAGAGATCTGCAGTATGACACACACCGTTGTAAAAAGACTAGTGGTGCAACCAAACAGATAATCGTCGAACGCACATGATAAGAAATCGATATTGGCATGTGAAAGTTTGGAGAAATGCAAAACAAACCTATATGGAAAATTGACATCTGGGGCTCATTCGAATCTCCTCTGCAGTTAGGATGTCCCAATAAACAATTTCCTTCAAACAGCAGAATAGGCAAGACGGTACACAATGCACCAGCCACAGTGACTGCACTTTCAACCGTGAATTCACAATATGCAAAATACCAATACAAGCCGGCGCATTTGTCCATTGTGGGTGAATTAGTCGATTTCGTGTTTTTTTTCAAGCGTGTGAAAAACTACACCTGTGGGCAGCGCATGACTCCGGTCAGGTGCAACAATGTAGCACTTAACAATTCCAAGCTTACTATAGCACGAAATTATTTGGTAGGATTTCGTGATTGCCAGAAAAGCATTTGAGGAAGAAATTAAGTTGAGGAATAGATAGGTAATTAAAAATGACTAGCAGCAAACATTGGTCATTTTATCGACGCATGGTCGCCAGAAGGCATATCATAAAAACTCAATAACGAATAGGTAAAATTGATAAACTGAATTAGACCACGACTTACTACCGACGCTACCAATCGCAAACCGTGTAGTTAAGATGACGATTTTGATATAATCAGAGCATTAAATTAGGCATGCCTACCGATAAAAAGTGCTTCTACACTATTAGGTATTCACGGATGCTTTGAGACCAGAATTCCCTCGAGATGTGTACCGCGAATCAGAGTTAGAGGACTCACTGCTAACTGGTTTAAATTTTTGATGTTGACCGGAAATCGACAATTGAATTTGGACATGGGAGAGACATGTGGATGGGAGCAGATTCGTTCCTGAAAAACTCTCCTCATAGTTCCAATGTGCCATTAAAAAGAAATCACAGAATTTACAGGAAACTATATGAAAGATAAAAATCTGGCATCAGATTGCTGTGAGTACTTAAAACATGAGTTGTGAAAAGCGCAATGGAACAAGCCAGCGATAAATTCAGATCATGCATGAAAGCTGTTTGAGTTCCATTTCAGCATGCAGATGTACACATCATCACACCATAAACGACGGTGTGAAAATCCGATATTTTCGACAACATCGTCTCCAGTGTAATTCTTTGAAATAATAAAATCTCTTCAGAGAGAGAGAGAGAAAGAGGAACGAAGGCAACTACACACGAAGACGACATTGCGTTCATTCAATTGTAGACCCACCACGAAATGTCGATGCACTCCATCAAAAAAAAATGGCAGCAATTTGCACAGGTAGCAGCGAAGTCGCCTGAAGACACGTGGCTCGCGGTATAGACGTTAATTACGACCTAGGCCTATCAAGAAATCAAGAGCATTTGCTTCGCAGGCGAGTTTACGGTTAAGCGTATCAAAACGCCTTGGAAAAGGTTATTCTGCAGTGGAGGTTTTTTCGATTAAATTACGCAGGAATTGCGTACATCTAGGTTGTGCAAGAGTTTAGCATAATATTTGAAAACGTTTTCCATAAAACGAATGCATAAAACCTTTCGTGTACCTTTACGAAACCACACTGTTAAAAACTTGAAGTACCTACGAGGTGAGTAAACAAATTAGGATAGATGGTGTGGGTAGGACTCTTGGGGTAGAGATTAGTACCGCTAAGAGATAGCTCGCAGTCGCTGGTAAAACACATCAGGCATCTCACACTCAACCAGCTGTTAATTATTCAAAAAAATTACACGAACGGGTAAGGTGTTTTGGCAGTTCCCGAAAATCCCTAGATTTTAACTATTAATACCATGTGATTTTATGCCTACTTTCGAGAAGGTAATCTCGCGTGGGCTTTAATGCACCTGGCACAAACGTAAGGCGGTGGACAGAAATAGGAAGCTCGTCAATGCGCATAAACACCAATGACCGGCATTTGGACAAGGTTCCTAGCGGAAATCTACCGATTATTCAACATACAGTCTGGCCGAGATGTCACTAAACGCAAATAAATGGGGCAAATTTTATCCCAGCCGAACAATACCGAACATATATTGCAAATAAAGGCTTGACTTTTAAAAATATGCTACACGATTGTGCAAAAAATCTTATTTTAGCTGCAATTTATAAAAGGAATTAATGGCATTCTGAGACATCTGAGGATGAATGGACAACTAAAACACCTCCTACTCCACCCGCCGCCCCCACAATAAAAATCATGCTGCGTGTGTTTAATGCCCTATTCATCGAGCTGCAAATATTTATGTGTTCGTTCGGTTTTAGTGCCCGCTCGAGCTTTCAGGCCCCGGGGTCCATGAGATGAAAGCGATGATTGACATCACATTGGCTGTGCGCAGCGTTCCAAGTTCGTCTCCCCCATTTTTGCCGTTTGATGGTTTTAAAATTCCTTGAGACGCAAAAAACGTTTAGAGCAGTGTCGGGGACCATCTTTGATCGACAGGTTCAGTGGCTGACATGTGACCCGACGACCAGGCAAAAATACGCATGGGGCAGCTCAACACGCGCTTAGCGCCTGGGCCACAAGTGTTTGACGGCGATACAGGTGGGTGGGGGGTACCCTCTGTCCCAGCTTCCGTGTCACGTGACTCCGCTGTGAATATGGGCAAATAACTACGGGGAGTTTTAAAAAGACCCAAGGAAGTGGTGGCAAAAAACCGAACGCGCATGCATGCACAGGACAAAGACGCGTCGATGTTGCAACGGAAAACATTTATTGGTATACATATGTACATGTATCATTTTCATCTTGGAAGGGCAACACTCATGTCAGCGGTGGCGTGGAGGGGAAGGCTTTTTCGCGAAGCTGGCGGAGGAAGTCGGCAAGGGGAATGGGCGAGTTGCCGGAAGACTGTGGCACGGTCGGAGACAAATCCTCGTTGGCCAGGAGCTCATGCAGGAAGGCACACAGGTCTTCCTCGACTGCCTAATTGGAGGATTTAGGGTAAGCTCAAGTGGATGCGCATGGATACAAAACGTAAGATGAGTCACACAGGAGTACACGACGGGGAGAAAAGCTTATAGCTATAGAGAAAGTTGAGTTCTACTACAGCTTGTGGATTAATCTACGTTATTCGTACACAGAGCTACTGCCAGAAGGCATGAACACAGCACTCGTGTACCAGTTTTGCAAAGAGGCAGGTAATTACGCTGAAAAAAATAAAACTGACTGCACAACTAGGCTCATCTAGAAAAGAACCGTTTCAACACGTTTGACAAGCAGATCAATTTCGCCTCAAACCCTCCAAGAAACTATACCGGCCGTGGTTTAATGCTAAATTTAACACCGACGTACCAGAAGTAACAAGATCGTTTTTCTTTCGGGAGAAAATGTCGGGGTTGAAGGGAGGGGGAATTAGGGGTTGCCATTAGAGGCTTACGCGATGCGATCAAAAGCCCCAACCACCCACCCACCTCAGCCCAGCCCCACCGAGTGGAAGATAGCCTCATCAACAAGGAGATTACAGCGAGCAATGAAAACTCCGTCATCAGTGTGTTTTTATAGGGGGCTTTAAGAATACCGAGGGGATAAAATGACAGTGTCGATTACTGGCCAACCGACAAAATTTTGGACGGATAATTAAACCACACCGGGAACAAGTGATTGTTCCAGTGCGTTTTAAAAAAGATACAATTGGCTTTAGTGAGTGAGGTTTGTCAGGTTTTATAAACAGAGCCACTACAGAAGATAGTTTAGTCACTGATTTAAAGTGCTGGAAGCACAATCACTGAGAAGCGATAGTGGCTTGAGCAGCATGGAAATGGAACTTACAGAAACCGCGTCATGGAGCGCGGATTCGGAGAGTGACGTGTCGGCATGAAGAGCGGCCAGTCGGTGCTCAAACTCGGCACGCCTCTCCTTCGCCGACCTGATGATCCCAAGAACACGCTGGTACTGATCTCGCGCGGTGGAGGCGCTGTCCGCGGAGACTTTGATGGCTGTTGGCGGTCTATGCAAAGGAGAGAGAGGGAATTGAGGGCAGACATTCTGTGTCAAAGACTTTGTTTGCAAATCCGTTGGTAATGCAAACAGGTGCAGCGGGAACTTTACACGAGGCAATGACGCGAAAAGAGTTAGGTTCGATCAAAGGGAACCAAAAAGGCCCTATGTGGATTAAACGAGAGGAGCTGAAAATACCACATGGACTGAACTTATGTTATACAGACAACCCAAAATCTGAGGTTTCTAGGACACGATGATGATTACTATCGGGCCGTATTAGGGAGACGTAAATTAGAATGTAAAAGATGACTTAGCCAAGGACCAAGTGAAGGAAGTAGGGTCCCCTTTCTTCATGACACCTTGAAAACCCAACCCAATCCCATCTATGTCAGACGATTACTCGTCACCTCCATGATAGATCTGATAACGGCTCTAATTCTTTCTTCGTACAGTTCAGATATTAAAAGAAGACAAAATTTGCGAGTCTGCATTCTACACAATGGGAAGGAGATACTGCAGACTCCAATAAGAGAGGTTTGTAGATGACAACACGTCGATTCAAAGAGAAGTAAATGACGAATATGTGGGAAAATCGTTCCGCTTTGTTTCGTAAAGGGCAAATTTGTGGGAATTTCTTGACATTATTTCGCGCTTGAACGCAAGCTGGGTAAAAATGGGCATGAAAACCATCATAGAGCAAAAGGACGCACATAACTACAGCTGGGCCAAACACCATACATGCAGAACCGTCGTTAATAAGGAAATGCTCTTGTAGTGAAGCAAGCTTTCGCAATTACCAACACAAGTTAGGCCCGATGAAAGATACGATGGGAGACAAGTCAAGACATCTTGAAGGAAAACGGGCGAGGAAGAGCGACGTCCACAGCCAGCTTTCGCTCGTAATGGCACGACAGACTCCACACGAAGTGCTACGACGTGGAACAAGTGGACTTAACTTGACCCTGCTGACTGGGTCATGAAACTGGCGGCTTGGTGTTTACGTGGTTTCATCGTGGCGATTTTATCACTTCCCAAATCAGTGCGGGCGAAAATCATTTGCGCTACCTGTTAATACCTAGTTAACTGTGATCAAAGAGGAAATAGGAGTTGTCGAAAAACATTACCTTGAAGAGGTTTTGAATTACGCAAACTGTTGAACTGTCATTTTACGGAAAGGAGTGGACAGCAGAACCCTCGTCTAGACAGCTTGGGAATATGAAAACACACGGGCAGGAGTTAATCTACGAGCTACGGCGTGGAAATCAATTGCACGATATCAACATCATGACAAATTTAAATCAATAGAGGCAGGACGCGAGGTAAATCGGAAAAAAAAACTGCAAAGTCTACTCTGCAAAGCGGTGGAAGGTGTCGGCTCTCCAAATGCACCACAACTTTTGGAATTTCTGAAATGGCAACATCCGCCTCATTATTTCAACTTTGTGCGAAACTAATGGGCATATTCCAGTGTGGAAGTGTTCATCAGCCTTGTGAGTCCAACGACAGCTTCAATAATATGCGCATGGCTACCCGAATTATAGCTGTGATAACTGGCAGGCCATCTCTCTGCTAGGTTGGAAATGCCTTGTCGAAAATACGAGCACAACTGTGTGCAACCAATACCGCTAATTTGACACTCCCGAGGCCATAAAAGCTTCAACCCGGAGCTGTCCAAATTGCTAAAACACTGAATTCCTCATTTAAGTTACAACTGCAACTGAACCACAGGGACTTGGCAGGAATTTCCAACACCAAAAGCTGGCAGCAATCGACACGGGTGTGCGTGATGAATCTGAGTGTCGCGGTACTAACACAGGCTAAAACAACTTGTTCATTAACTCCAAGTGCAAAACTTGCGCGGCAATTTACGTGCGCAATAACGCCGGATTTTTTTTGCCGCACAAAAAACGCCGACAGGATGCGATTTGTTCTACTGTTGGGCGGTCGCCTCGTCACAAATGTATCAGTAAGGCTTTTTTGTACAAATGTGCACAAATTGGAGAGATTGCCTCAAACACTTCCACGAATTGCTGAGCATAACTAAGACTGCGACATTTACGAAGACTCGTCACACGGGGTCTCCAGTCAGCGCTTTATGATACGAATCTGGAATAGCCCGCGAACACAGACAGCAAACCGTTTAGCGATAGTTAGTAGTCATAAAATACGCGGACACATTTCTTGTCCAAAATGCAATCCTGGTAAGCGAGTCGGTAGTACCGCAAATGGACTGCTGCAGATGGGGAGACAGGCGATGTCAAATGGCACAAAATTGAAGACCGGTGCAACCAAAACTGATCTCTACATGGTGTCACGGATTCAAAAAGCGGCCAACTTATAACCACAGAAACGGGAGAGACGGATAAGCGTCTAAGAGCTTACATACGACCCTAGTCAATTGTAGAAAATCAAAGCTAGCACTGTTTTCTAAAAGGCATAAGGACAGCATGGGAGGAATGGGAACGGCACCAGAAGCACGATTTCAAGATTTGGTGTGGAATGGAAGTAACCTGAAGCCCCACATTTGTAGAGAACTCTGGTAGCTTAGAATTGAGCGATGAAGCCACAGTAAAGGCATGAGCACTCACGTCGTTTTCCGAGAGCTTAGACTTGTGTGGCACTTGCTCGGAGCTGTCTAAAGAGAAATATAAAATGATTAAACTTTAAAAAGGCTAAGAGTAGGCACATTTTACTGCAGTTTTGCCGACCTGTCGCTTGGGTCGTGATGGCGGCGTTTGGCTTCGAAGTTGGTAAGAAACTCCAGACTTCCAGGCAGGAAAGCTAAAGAGGAAATGGAGAGAGAGATAAGATTAAATTAACTGAGCACAAAAGTACAAGGATGTGAAAAAGGCATCTTAAAACACAGCCTCGGCATAGACGTCGATAAAAAGGTCATGACTGACGCAATCAAATGCTAAAATAAAGGGTACCCTGGCGAGCAACTTCGAGTGACAGGAAAACCACACTGTCTGAGGTCTGCATTTTTGAGTTTGGTGACTTCAGTTACTTCAATTAAGGGTTATGCGTATTAGTTAACGGCCATCAAGCCAGTTGTCACATCGGACATGCACGAAACTAGGTCGAGCTATGCAATGAATAGTTGCGTCACCGCCATCCGTGATGCGTTTTCGAGCCAATACAACGCGGCGGACCTAGACAAAATGGCCCTAAGAAGGGTGAATATTTGAAGGCAATGGAAACCCGAAAAACGCCCAGACCGGACTTGCTCAGGTTGCGTTTTTCAAAACCTGAAGACAACTTGAAGATGGTATCGCATTTACCCAGACACATTCATCAACTGCTTTCTAGGTGAAACGAAATTACGGGGTCTTCAGCTACACCAGAAGCCTTAGCTGCAGTATTGCTAACGCACGACCTCATTTTACGTCCGCGAAATACAGTCGGGCTACTTAGATCGTCCACCAACTGCAAGTTTAGCAGAACGCGCAACATAATCGGGCATTTCAGTAGTATGTGGAAATGGATATTGCACAAACAGCATTTCCAATACTGCGCGACCTCACGTTTCTGTAGAGATGCCCAGCAAAATTTTGATTACGTATTAAGAACACCATCACTAAATATCTCAAGCAAAAATACGCCAAGTTCGTGGTTAGAGGTCAGGAACAATGACCCTCCAGGGAAATACTCGCGTTAAAAAGAAGCAAGCTTTAGCAGAACCCATTGAGTTGGCTACCCAAATGCTAGAGTTTAAGCACTACCTTCCAACCCTCTAGTTAACCCGAGAATGAAGGGAGGCGACAGAGGCCACGACAGTTTGTTAGCGTCACGCCAGCCAAGTGTGTCTTAGTGTGCAGATGAGTGAAAGGATGACAGGCATTTGACAACATTAACCAATGGAAAGGGGATGAGTCATTGCCACCGTCAGGTCAGTAAACAGGGTCCACTCAGGCGCGATCACCGTTAATCCGCCACAACTACATATCCACCTGTACTTGCTTTTCAAAGTGAATAAAACAAACTGCCTTCAAACACAAATTACGCTAAACAGAGCCTACACTCACCATCAGGCATAATTAAGAATCAGAGGCGAACTAGCGATGATGACGTAAAGGCTGGCTTTAAACTGCAATTTGGAGCTCACAGGCTAGCATAGACGTGTGCTTTTCATCTGGCTAACTGCATGATTCCCCCCGGATTACCACCAAAATTAGTTGGAAGACACACATTTTTGACAGCATTAGAAGGAAGTCTATGTAAATGACCTCAAAAACCACATTGATTTTCTTAACTAAATTGGTTTAATAAATAATCACTACTTAAGGATTTAAGTAAAGCGGATGTTATGAGACACCCCAGAAGTTAGAAGAAGAAGAAGAAGAAGAAGCAGGGCGACGCCACAAGACGAAAGGGCGTGTGGGTGCGTTGGCGAAGTTACACCAAGAATTAATATCTAATAAGTGACAATCATGACAACGCGCACTTTCTGAAATCAAACCTGCGCTTAGATAAAGGAACAAACGCTACAAATAAAGATGCACGACAAATAGCAATACTTAGTTTTCCTAGCGTCTTCTTTAGCTTTAATAACATTGGCTCGCAGCTGATCGAAGGAATCGGCTGTTGCCTTGACGCGTAGTGCGGAACTGACTGCTCCAAGGTGTTTCCAGTCACTGAAGCGGAAAACTCCGGTTTTGTTATAAAAAAAAAACACTAGCCAATAAAGTAAAAAGTGCCGTTTACAAGTCCGTTTGAGGAAACTGAGTTAAGTAATTAAACCATGTGACCTTGTAGTCGATGTGTAAAGAAATCAATACGAGGAAAGACATGAGGAAAGGCGGTCATTTATACGCCATACTTAAAAAAAGCCCTTGGAGTTCCAAGCATTGCTTTAGTAAAAATAAAGTTTAATTTTTAACAGATCGTTAATATTGAAACAATGTTTAGTTTCGGCAGTGGGGAAAGTTTTTAATCATGTTTAAGAATAATCAGCGTCAGCACTGAAAAAAGTGCATTTTGAAGCGTTCAAGATATTGACATGGTAGGAATGACAAATCTGTCTATACCAAAGCATGAAGATCTGACGGAAAAAATTTAATACTCTAAAGACACCGCATGTTCATAATTTAACACTAAAAATTAGTTCTGAAATTTATAAATAACAAGCTAAGTTGAATATTTGATTTTAATAATGAAAAATACCTATTGTTTTCACACACCCCAACAAACGGAAAATCCCTTGTGGATAAGTCGGGCTCAGCTTTGAAAACCTTCAATCCATTCCCATGTTTAATGACAAATCTCTAAAAGAAAATAATCATCAGTCAGCACACAGTTACCAATATCCATTAAAATCGTCGTCTACTTATTGCCTTTTCTTCACAAGGAAAACATATTAAACTAATTAGTAACCACAAGAAAATAAGACTGTACAAAATGGTTAAATTCTGTTTAGGAAAAAAATGAATAACAAACAATGGCAGCTACGTAAAAATTAAACTTTATTTTAACTTTTTTTGCATTTTTAAAGGAACCTGTCGACTATAAGAAACAGAGGTGGAAAAAACCCAACTTACGCAATTGCCCCCATCAACTTCAAAATATATTCGGGGATTCTAAAAGTATGTAAATATTATAGTAGAAACCTTTTCGTTCAAGGATTGCCAAAATGACTCCGTAACACGAACGTGGAAAAGTTCGAGAGAACTGTCACCAAAGGACTCGACACCCATCACCTACCGTATTGTTCACAAGTGTTTTTTTATAAATAGCGCTTGTAAGGGAGAAGAAGAAAAACACATTATATTTGGATAGGGGATAAAAAGAATGTCTTCTTTCAAATAATACATACACCTATTGCGTTACTGTCTAATAAAATAGAACACGGGTTTAGTTAATTTCATGCTACACATATTTGGTCCCGGGAAGATAAAATGGTTTGGCTTCCACAAAATAATCGAAACCTATACAATAACTATTTTTAGGTTGGTATTGGTTGATTAGCGAATTTTTTAAGTAAACAAAATCTAGAATTTTTTAAGGGCTTGATAATTTAGTATTCTGCTTGGCAATAAATTTTAGAAAACTCGAAAAAAGTAGTTTAAACCGTTAATAGAAGAGCAACTTAAAAATCTTGGTATTGTTTGAAGTCATTGGATCATATTATTTCAAACAACGTAAATAGACAGCTTGTTTTTCTTTAGCCAAGCGTTTTAGCGATTCTTAAAGAAATTATCAGCGCGACCCCAAAACTCTTATCCGAGGACCTTGCTGGATGCCTAATGATTTTTCAGTTAAAAGACGATAACGATTTCGTCATCATCTTGGGAAAACAAAGAAGCTTGTTTGCCTGACTTTTAATATGACTAACTTACTAAACTACGAAAAATCTGGATTAGGTGTTAAAAATTAGTCTAATGTCACATTGGGCAAAACAGTTTCAATGGCCCTTTTTCCAAACACTGACCCTATTGCTACTGAATTCATCTGCTGAAGAATTGCGCATTCAACATTTTTCCGCAATTTAAGTCTTGTGGGTGATAAAAATTAGCTTAATTTTTATTGCCCGAGACCATTGACTACATTTAAGATTAATGGCCAAAACGTTGCTTGATACGGTGACTCGGCCTCCCCTAGGTTTTAAACAGATAGGTATTGCCCGAAAAAAGATTATGATTACCAGATCCATTCATATGCCATTATTTTGCAAATAAAATTTTGAACGCAACAGATTTAACTGAATTATGTGGCATGTTTCCAGTTTTCTATTTGGCGCTATTAAGCAAAAAAGGCATCGAAGTTTTCGAGAGTTTTTTCTGAATGCCTTTAGTATTTGATTTTTGCGCTGGATTCATTCGTTGTTTTGTTTCTGATTTTTGTTGAGGCTAATGACGATTGCTTGATGTTGACGCTCGGCGCCGGACCAACTCACGACAGTTTGGCTTATCATTTTCAATTCTGCTTCCTTAAGCCATCTCTCCTACTGCATTTGCCACCATTTTGTTTCAAATAGCATCTTTCAAACATAAAAACTGTCTGCGATCTTCCTATCTCGACTGTTTCATTAAACATAATCCTAGACACTACCTTGTTGGAGCGTACAAAGACCATCGTATTTCCTTCAGAGAGTGTGTTTGTTCTTGAGGAACATGCCGACTTTAACCTTCACTTTTATCGTCCCTCTCAGTAGACACTACTCACTAGACGATCTAACCCACTAAATTCAAAGGCTTAAAGCACGTAACTTGAGCATTGTGTTGCATTCTTTTGCCACATAATAGATTTTGGACCAACGTCTTTTGTTTAAGATTACTCGATTTGATTGCTGAATTGTCTTCAATCTTCAACAATTCGATTTTCCAGGTTGAAAATATGTCACAAGACTTCAAAGTTTCATGGGTAATTATTATTTATAAAGCCGGTGGGCCAATAAGAATATCTTTCTTTAGGTTTTAAGGCCAGCAAAGTACATCCTGAGTCGTTGGACAGAAAGAAGTCCCAAGTCCTGTTCGCATTTTTTGCTAGCACCGATTTTTCTAAATATTTGTGCCTAAAAAACGGCCACCAGTAAAACATAGAATAGCAAAAGCTGTTTTGTCATATAAAATTCCATGCACACATCATTTCGACATCATTTCAAAGTCGAACTGACGGGCTGAAGGCTACTAAAGTTATATGACAGTCTTCATTTAGCATTTCTTTTATTATACTGGTTTCGTTGAACTATCAATCAAATCCGCCATTAACCGACTTTCTGTATAAACGTTTTAAAGTTTTGTGTTGTCTTTGCCGTTCATCACCACCAGCGAGCTTATTTATTAGTGTTTAAGCAATGATAGCGTCAAATATGACCCACATGTCTCATCCTCTAATTTCTTAGCAGAAGATTGCTGTTTGCATTTAGAGCTCACCAAATTGCATTTGCTAGAAATGAAAAAATGGTTTTATTAGAATTTGAGAAATGTTACTCTGAAACGTGTATTAAAACTTTTTAGCAAAGGTCGTACCTTCCTCATTAGATCTGCCGAATTCAAAAAGAAAAGAGTTCCATGAGATCCAAAGTTCTGTCGAGCCTTTTGAGGCAGTTTTAAACAATTGCGGAGTATGTAATCGAAGGCAATATAGTCGGGTTAACATGTTTGTTACAGCCTTGTAATTGTAAAATCCGAAAAGCAACTAAACATAATACAGCAATTGATGTTTAAACTGGCTTTTAAATTGCATACGAAATCCGCCAAAAGTATTGGGTTAGAATTCAACTATAACCACAGCCTTTTTGGATGAATTTTTCGACGGTTTGATCTTAAAGTTTGAGAGTACTCAAGGCTCTATCAAGTTTCTGCAAAACGTGATGCCTGTAAAACGATCACAACTTTGCTGAATTTTTCTTTTAATTTAATTTCCTGGATAAATCTTAAAGCTAACATGAAGAGACTGCCAATCAAACTGCAATTCAAATAAGCCAACTGTTAGGTTTGCCTGTAACAAAAGAGAAAACCACTCAAATAACGGTACCAGATCCCTAGCTGAATGCTAGAACCGACCTTCCCAGGCTAATGCAAGAACAAGACCAGAGCTTGAGTAGAAGGCTTTATCCACGTCAGCCACGTGCAGAAAAGTAGTGAAATTGAAAGTGAAAACGAAACTAATTCAAGTCAGGGTTGACCTTGACTTGATAAAAAGCGTAACAAAATAAATGTTAGTAATTGATGTAAATAGAATCAGAAACCAATCTTGGGGATTTGTGGATGCCCAACACCAACAAAGCTAATACAATACAAAGATAAGGAGAAAAATTTCACCTTGAGGATTTGTGAAAGAACGTTCAGACATTGTCAATGTTGTGTGCAAGCAAGCGAGATGTCAAGGAGAAATATACGAATGTAACACCAGTAATCAGCACCAACATGATCATCCTGCGTTGCCTCACGGTGTGTTTCGCAAAACAAATTATTGCACGAGAAGATTTTGGAATTTCAATTTTTTTCCTAAGAATAGTTCTTCGGTGGTTTATTTAATAAAACTTTGGTGGTCATAAATGTTTACAATCGTTCAAATATGCGATTGATGAGTGCAGCTTACTTATTTACACCCTGCTGCTTCCCTCTAATGAAAGTTAAAATCCCTAACTAGAAATAATAAATAGTCGAATGGATGTACACATCTACTGTTTACAATAAGCTACGTTAAAGGGTGATCAAAATCTGTCAACTCATTTTGACTTGATAATAGAGGATGCAGAAACATCTATGGCTTGTTTAGGGATGAAAATGTCCATTTAAGGTCAGGAAATAAGAAGAGTCGACTAAAAGAACATCGATCAATAAAACCTATTTTTGATGATTATGCAAAGTCAGTTACGGTCAACTTGGTAAAAAAAGTAAAGCGGACCTAAAAGAAGATCCAAACTTTAGGAATCCTAAAAAGACGCTCTCAATAATTCCCTGACTGGTTTCCATAAGGACTCATCTTTTCTTAGTTAACTGTTTGTTGATGCCACCCTTCGGTCTACAGGGTGTAACACTTGCAATGATAATACTATACAACCTTTTGTTTTACCAAACCAATTCCGCTAGAACACTAATCAAGTGCGCCACAGACAGAAAACCCTAAACATCTGTGTTATTGTTTGCTTCCAGCAAGCCGTTATGCTTCTATTTATGCTGCTGTTATTTGCAAAAGGTTCCGTTGACACTTAAAATCATAATGGTGTAGGGATAACAAATGATCGCGCGTAGACCCGGTAGTTTTAGGTAATCTGTAACAGCACGTGAAGGTGCCTTAACACGAGCTTAATAATACAAATTCAGCCCACATGCATTTACCAGAATTCGTTCTTCGAAAATTTAAACGAATACTTGCATTAATGGTATAGCATATTTAGTCCCGAGTAGCCAGAGACCACAAAAATATCCGTAAGTGCTGGTTTAATCGTTGAAGAAAAGCAGTCAAGTTATTTAAGAGAAAGCGTGTTCACAACACCTGCACCATCAGGAATTTTTTAAGTGGTTTCAGATTTCCGATGATCAACGCTTATGTACTTATTAATGTTCACCTTTTAAAAAAAGCCTACCTAGGATATGACTAATGCCTTATAAGCATTTAATGCCGTCTTCATGAAATAAAAGCAGATGCTTTCGGATAATACGCTAAAGAATTTGTTATTTGATGTAGCCGCAAATATGACTAAATGAGAGTCAAGTCTGTAAGGACAAGCCTTCTCTCTTATGCCCATGCCTCTGTTTCTCATGTAACGTTAATACAATTATGATAACTTTTAATTTCGACAACATAAAACAGTGAAATATATTGATACATACTAATTTGACTTAAATTAAACGTTATAAGCAGATTTGTGAAGGCATTAAGAGCTTATTGCTTATCTCTATAAGGCTAAAAAATCTTAGTACAGTAATAGACAGTGAGAAGATGTGTCAATATTAAGATCTCGGATTTTTCACACCGGTTAGAAACAAATAATTAAAACTGGGAACTCATTTGTCAACGACACTAGAGACATAGAAGACAACAACCTAATAGCAGTGTTTCAGGTTTTACTAATTACCGAGACATATGAAATTTCATGGGCAGGTGCGCCAATCCATGGGCAGGTTATGTAGTGACTAGAGAATTAGCAGTACCCTACAACCCTCCAGTAAGCAGAAAACGACCGTTTATTAGTGTCACACCATCCAATTGGCTTTGTGTGCGTATGAGTACGCAAACATAAGAGGCAAATGCCGACAGAGGCCAATAACAAAAGTTGTTAGTTATTGATCCACTCGGGCCCTCATGCACGCATCAATCACGCGAGGTGGCTGTCAGTCCACAGCAGTTATATCTTATGTTAGCATATGAATATAAATTTAAAGAACCTATCAAGCACTAGGCCATTTAGAGCAATGTAAGCATTTTAATTATGTCATATTATCTTTAAATAATGCAGCTGATGCAAAACATACTCCGCAAAACAATCACCATTAAATTTCTGCAATTATTTTAAATTATCACAAGAAAGACAAATCCAAAAACAATTGTTGCCTTAATAAAAAAGGCTAGTCACGCGAATTAGTTTAAACTAGCTCTGCTAAAAAACAATTAAAGTAGTGTTTTTGATCTCAGACATGTTTTTTAGTAATTTGTTTTAATGACTTGGATTGAAGGAATAAAAGGCGCTTCAGACAGTCGACCTTGTGGCTGTGTCAACGTTGGTTTGTATTCTTGTGGTCTTGCGAAGTATTTGTGGTCTCTACTATCTGAACCTGCTCTTAAAATCTGTTGAAATTTATTATATGCTGAATACTTTTGTTTTCGACCTTAAATGACGCCCGCCTTGCGCTTGTTCTTTCCTTCATGGAATTTTTTGAAAATGCCTCAAGTGTCAACAATCTTCCGCATTGTTGGTTAATTTTAACAGTAATTTGAAACAAATTAACGGGGTTACACGGCTCTTACGGTTGTGAATTCTCATAGATCGAGATTTCAAGGGTTCGGACTTAGTTTTTTGGAAGACGTTATAATTTCTAATTTAGTTTCTGGTCTAATCAGCACATGATTTCATTAGAAACCGTTTAAATTGCAGCCTATAAATGGAGATTGTAGGCCAATAAGTTATAAATTGACCAACGCTTTGTTAGGTGTTAAGTTCTATCACGGTTTCTCATTGGTCCTATTTGCCTTCAAACCCTTGTAGTTCATATTGTCATGATCATTTTGGCCGTCGCGCTTAAGAATGAGTCTTTTATTATTGTTTAAATCACTTGCGAAAGTAGTGGGTTGCGTCAAATTTTTATTCTACATTTGTGTATATTCTTCAAGTAATTGTGTTCACCTATATTAAAGAATATATTTGAGTTTATATACTTGAAGTATATGTGTGAATTTTTACTTTTTAGATAGGAAATTGTACCCACACCGATGCCACTTCTCGGGAACCGTCTTCATGTCCTAAACACTCTTTTCAAAAAGCCTAAAAAGAACAGTGAAGTTACACCTATTTTTGAATTTGTCGTTCCCGAAACCAAAGAAATATGCTTATCGGAAGATGAACTTAAGAGAAAAAAAACGATTTATGAGTCAAAAATTTGGACTTGTCGTGTGACAGGTCGTGCGAATTTGACTTATAAAGAAGCGATCAAGTCAGAGCACACGACAATCAATATCTTAAAGAAAGCCATCGCTGATCACTATCGCACGGAAATTTTGCAAATTGTTCACAAAAGTGAGTCAGTCTTGACCATATTGACATCACTTAGATACGCTACCCTTGGAGCCGTTGACGCAAGCTTGTTGGATTAAAGCCCACGAACAATTCGTTGTTGGAGAACCTGTATTACTCAAGGTCGACTCCAATAAACCGTATGTGTTTATCTGTCTTTGAAGTTTGTAGTATTCACGCGACCGTGTTAAGCGTTGATACGTCTGCTAACGAGCCAGTGGTTATTGATTTATCGAAAGAAGAATCGAGCTCTCCAAATAACAGTGATAAGGAAAATAACATCAATGCAAAGCGGCCTCCTGTTTTCAAGGTTTGTGGTCTCCATCTTATTTACTTTTATTAATATTTAGAAAGATTTCTCCTACAATGTGAAACTGGTGTCTGATGATCCAGTTGTTGTCAATCATGTACCCTCTAGTTGTATACAGTAAGTGTGTTTTGTGATAATGCTTCCACTTAAGGCGTATCCATCGAGCCCCGTCGAAGGACCACATTAGGATGTTTATTCGCGCCTACGCCATGCGTTATGGGCCTTGTTCAAGTGGTCCCTGGATTGTCGGTCCGTCTGCCCTTCGGAAGTATTGTCCGACTTTAAAGATTGCCAATAACCTTATTGACAAGGGCAAGGTAATCGTTCTTCGTTTTCTTCACCACCTTTGTGGTTGTAGCTTCGACAAGTATCGGAAAGTTATGAATTAAAATTTTACGAGAAAATAATAGCTGAACGAAATAAAGGGAATGCTCTCGACGGTAAAAGTGGCGTGAAACTTTCACCCAAAAGTCTAAAAGAATTCAAAAACTTCTCCGCCCTTCGCTGCGAGAGTCCCAAAAAGTCCTCATCTGATGGAATCTCTCAGAAAGTCAAAGAGACTCCAGAGGGGAAACCTAGCAAAAAAATGAAACAGGTAGGTGTTGTCTGCTCTTGAACTCAACTTGCTCGAATTGTTTAGAGTTGATTTTCACATTGTATTCTTCCCTTAGGCAACTCTTCATTTTACCAAATCTAATTCACCGAGTTCTGGGAAAAAAGGAAAGCCAGGGACTTTGGTTAAATCTGAGGTGCCCTTGCCTTCAATCGCCAAACGTCTTATTCGCTGTCTCAAAGCCAACTCTGAGGGCAACAAAGTTAAACTTCTTGTGACACGTTGCGTATCGATCCTTACAGACGCTCAGGTCATGGCTCTGCCTGTGGACGCTCAGAAACTTGTAATGGAGAAGAGAATTGATATTGAGAACCGCAAGAAGTTGTGAGTCCTTTACGTGTTCATCCGTACTCCTCATGCACTAACATAATTCCCTCATATGAGTCCAGCTTTAACTCGTTTACTGTTTGCATATCCATTATTGCTCAAATTTTAGCTATTCATAGACTAGTCTAGCACATAAACTCTCATATCCAGTGCTTCTCATCTGAATGGAACCGTAATTCCTAAGTAGTTATAATTCAAGCTCCCTTTATGCAATTTATGTAATGAGCCGTATTTACTTCGAGGTCGTTGAATGTTTAGCCAGGTTTTTATTTTGATGAAGGCATGTTAATTGCTAAAACGTGAATTACATAGGCTGTTTTTCGTCGGTACTGCTGTTTATCTCAGTCCAGTATTATTTTAAGATTGTTTTAACGCTTGTGACCGCAACAGAGGCATTCATTCATCAGAATATCTCCTGTTTCACAGACAAACTATGACTCCTGAAGAGCAAAAGGCTTACTTGCGTGACCTGCGCATGCAGCGTCGCGCCTTGGTTGACGAAAACGCGTCCTTCCTTGAAACTGGTGTTCAAGTCGTGGCGCTTCCCGAGCCTCGTGCCTTTCCCCTGCCTCCAGGAATATCCCCGCTTCAATTCAGTCGTGTTCTCTGCCTCACTGAATTTCTCGCCTGCTACCAACCTCTCCTAACCGAATACGCTCTCTCACCCGGGGAGCTCCTTTATCCTAGTCGAGTGAAGCAACTTGCTAGTGATCTGTGTCGGTCGACGGAGACAGATGACGAGGAATTTAATACTGACGATGAAGAGGAGTCGGCTTTGACGTCTACCGATGCTGTCCTGCCTAAAGCGTCAATCCGAGGACTTAGGCGTCTCAGTTTAGATCGAGTGCTTCGAGCTGTGGCAGAAAAACACATGTCTGCATCAGCATATCAGTGTTTGGCTCGGCCAATGAGTGCTCTTTTGCGCCAAGTGTTTTTAAGTGACCAATTTTCCGTAAGTTTCTTCATCTCTTCTTCCTTCACGTGTTTTTTGGCGAATCTATGTTGCTGATGTGCTTAGGCTACACACGTGGTGGTCCACGATACTAGCGGATAACGTTCCTTTTTCTTTATAGAAACAGAAGGAGTTGGGTATCCAACTATCGAAGATCCCAGTTACACCCTACACAGCTCCGGAACTCCTGCGTCTGCTATTGGAGCGTGAGGTTGCCAACAATATCGGTTCAACAAATGACCGGGCTCTTGCTCGGATCCGCCAGCTCATCACCTCTAACGGGGGTGATGTGGGGAGTTTCGTGCCGCCTCGTGACGTTGTCGGTGCCGCGAGTCTCCTCAAGTGCCTCACCTCGTCCGATTTATTCGCACTCGACCCGGAGTACCGAATTCTGGCCATCGAAATTCTCGTCGAGTGGATGCTTGACTTAGACACGATGGACGAGTACATGCACACCAGCAGTAAAAAGGCCAGCGACACTTGGCAGGCTCGTCTGACATTGACCAGGCAGAAAAAAACTGTTTTGCCTGCTGGTTATGATGACGATGATGACAAATTAAGCGCCGAAAAGGGTAAGCATAGCGGCAATATTCCTTTTATCACAAGAACTCATCACTCACCCACAAGCCAAATATCTCGACTCATGAGTTACGTGTGCTAGGTAGCATCAAGTTGTAATCTCAGTTCTTCGACTTTGGCCACTTCGTGTTTTTTTTGTTGTCACTTTAACGGAATTGTCAATCCCCATTCTAGAGCCTAATTCTGATGACCTGGCGTCTATTGTCAAAAATCGACGAGTTCTTGCTGCCAAAGCTGCCGAAGAACGGGAGATTCGTGAGGCGAAGGTGCGAGAACGACGCGAACTTGAGGCTAAGATTGATGCTGAGGAGAGAGCCCTTGCAAAAGCCGAGCATGAACACACGATAGCCTCGACCGAAGCTAAATTCTCCTTCCGGGTGAGTGCTCTTGGCACCGACCGGTTCGACCGTCGCTACTGGCGTTTCTTCAGTTCTCCTAATCGCCTCTTTGTCGAGGCCAACTGGGCTCCTGATGAGTACCACGTGGGCGATGCGTCGACGAAGGAAAAGTCCGCCGTGGCAACCTTTCCCCCACCCCACTTGTTCCCCGACAACCTCGCCAATTGTCAGGCAGTTCGTCAATTCGGCTATGCGGCGCGATCGCGGTGGTTCGTGTTTGATCGGCCTGATCAACTAGACGCCTTAGCTAATGCCTTAGTTGAAAGAGGTGTGCGGGAAAGCCACTTGAAGAAGAATCTTGTTCAGGTCGGCCTGCTGGATAACATGAAGGAACTAATCATGCTAACCGAGGCGGCAGAAAATCACCCAGAGTTCAAGTCTGTGAATTCGGAGGATATTCAACCCAAATCAGCCAATGAGTGAGCTTTCTTGTTTTCGTCAAACTAATTGATCCATCGCTTTTACGTTCATTCTTTACTCTTGCCCGGTTTTTTTATTATTATAGAACTGCCATTGATAAGATAACTGCCAAGGTTCGCGGTGACGCTGAGGCCATCCTAGCGAACGTTCTTCTCAAGGTAACTCTGGTCCCTGTACAAATGCACCCTTTCCTCACTTTATTAGTCTGCACCATTCAAAATTCGATGCACACGTTCACCTTTGGCATCGCTTTCCTTCCATCTGGGCTACTTTTGCGTTAGTTGGTTTCCAACCTCATTTATGGTTGAACCTCTCCTAGTCCTTAGCGACTACCAATCTCACATTTGGTTTCGGGGTGTGTCGAGGGATATCCGTAGATTTAGAAAATCTGCAGTTATCAGAGTGCGCTGGATCACCTCTTTATTTACAAATCTTAACGCGCCTTCAGTGTACTTCCGTGTTTTATCGTAGTGGAAACATAATACACGAACCACCATGAATAAATTTTATGCTTAGATATGGTATATTTTAGATCTAGTGGTAGATTGGAGCTCGATATCTCTATGCGCCTCCACTGCTCAGTGCATCGACTTTACGCGGTGGTAATTCTCAGTCAACATTAATGCGCTTCTACCCAACCCATGTATACAACATTAGTTCTCCATCACGAAAACGTGTATGCTTTTGTAAACGATGCAAGTCTTCACACAAGGGGGGGTGTAGCTTCGTCAGGCTTTGAGCTAGCAGGATAGTACTTTGGAGAGTTGACTTACCTTCCTACTTCTTTCCCCTCAACCTACATTAGAATCTGTACGAGACGGAAATCCATCTTCGCGACGGTGGACTGGGTGGTGTTCCTGACTTTGCGACATGGCAGTCTACCATCCTTTCGATCCAGGCAAAGTACGGTCTCTGTTTTTCCCTCACCGGAAGTACCCCACCCACGCCCGTCGTGTCTCCTGTACTATCCAAGTCTGCGTTCCAGTCCCTTGCCGCGGCCCTCGTTGCTGTTGGTCGGAATGTCCACCGTCGTTTCCTTAATGTACCCAAGCTAAAGTCCCGCCAATCTTTCAGGCATTCTGACCAAGATAACGGCGATGCGAGCAGTCATGAAGAGAATGATTGCGACAGTATTAAGGGAGGATGTGATGTAGACGAAGAGGAGAGAAGGCCCCACGAGACGACCGAAGTAGACAAACTCCGTGTTCATGATGTCGACGTGGAGCTTTGGATTGACACATGGGTTAGAGCCGTCAACTCCGCTGCTACCCTCACCAGGCTGAATGTTCTCCATGTGAGTTATGCTGTAGTGCATCGCTACTCAAATCTTTCCTGCTTAGCCGCAAATTTCTGCGATCCAAATTCCTAGTTTCGCGCTGTTTAAAGCCGCGCCTCCACGCCACCCTCATGCCTGGAAACCCTGACCGCGTGCTGACGTGTTACCACTTTGTATGATTTTACTTCGCTTATACAGAATTTGGCTCTTGAGGTAGTTCAGTAGCTTAACGACTTACCCGCAGTGCCTGACTCGATGTAAACAAAATTTCTATCCTCATGTAGCAAAACGAGGCTAACCTCGGTGCTTCACTAAAGTACTCATTGGATTGACGAAACAATACTCCTTGATTTACTGTTTAGTTCGCTGTATTAAGTTCAGTAATTTATCGGAAAAATTTATGGCAATTCTAACAAGATTAAGTTTGATTCTGGACTGCTTTGGTGATCCAAGAATTGTGCTCTAATGGCTAGGCGTGTTTGGACGCCTGCATCCTCTGGGAAAAATCCGTCGCCAACGTTCGCTGCCGCATTTGTCGACGCAACAAAGACGATGAAAGCCTCTTGCTGTGTGACGGTTGCAATTCTGGCTTTCACCTCTACTGCCTACGTCCTCCCCTCCACTCCATACCTCGCGGTGACTGGTTTTGTCTCTCCTGCAAGCCGCCCACAGCGCCGTCGCGGTCTGCAACAACCAACCGGCAGCGCCGCAATCGCCAACAGGCCTCAGAAGAGTCGGACAGTGATGATAGTGAAGCTAGCTCACTGGAATTGAGCTCCCAAAGCACAACCAGCGAGGACGTGGTGGAGGAACAGCGTCTCTTGAGAGGCCGGTTGAGGCAGCGCCCGTCTGCGAGGCAGCTTCCCTCAAGGTCCTCTTCCCGGTCGTCGCAATCGTCCAAGCCTCTTCCCAAATCCGGTAAACTGTCTCTGAGATTGGGCTCTTGTCAGTTGACACATTCGGTGCAAACTATCATCCAAGCTGTAATCATATCCCTGTCATCATTTCCTCCTCACAACGCCAGGTCACCTCCCGTAAAGGTTCTTATCACCAACCAAATCTTAATCCTATCACGAATTGCACTTAACCGTGAACAAAAAAACACCACATAGATAAGCAAACAAGTGTCGCCCTGTGCTAGGTGATCGTTCAAACTTGTCGGTCTCAAAGGATTGAACTAACGGGATTATGATCTGTGTGCCGTGGAGCATCAAGCATGGATCGAGTTACCAGTGCCGGAACCTACCTAATTCATCTTTCTGTGAATTCAACTCGTAGCTGTTCGAGCGAAATCGCTGGTACCGGCTTCAGCGTGGGGTTGATCATTTATGACTTAACTCCTAGTGAACAGTCTCTACCTTCTCTTTTACCTAGCCTCATCTTCAAACCTCTTGTCAAACGACAGCGTTTGCTTGGTGTGCGACGAGGAGGGCACTGAGGTCGACGAGCTAATCGCCTGTTCCACGTGCTCTAACGCGTTTCACCCGAACTGTCACAATCCGCCTCTGCGTTCCGCCCACAGACGCGCCCCTTGGGTGTGCTCCGTGTGCCGTGTCGGTCGCGCCTCCTCTGGTAGTCTTTCCGCCATGGGCCAGTCCCTAAGACTCCGGGCGTCCAGTCGAATCAATCGGAAAAACAGGTTAGAGTCGCCAGCAGTCTTCCCCTATGCTTGCCCGTCATTATGCTGGTACGAGCCAGGCTCCCAGTTTGTCGGCGCTCGTAGTAACGCCGCCAAATTGATCTTGGTGATTAGTCCCCACGGTTGATTCACCTTTTCTGGTTGACGGATATTTTGGTTTAAAAAGCAAGAACGTCGTGGAGTTTACGTGTAAACAGGCGATTCTTGACCAATGGCTCCGTTGTTCGCTACCCTGGGGGACAATATGATTGCCCCATGGTGGGGCGTAACGAGAGGCAATTATTGTAAACAAAAACATTGAAGACGAAGCCCCACTGTGCCTATTTGAGAACTTTGAGTCTCTCATATAGTTTCAACAAAACCATTAGGTAAACTTAAGAATCGGTGGTGTTTGTATTTTTGACAAGTCAGCATCATGTTTGCCTTAATGGACCCTGCCGAATTTTTTAGCTACCTTCGACTTCATCGAATCTCGACAGCTCCAAGGAAGCGGCCGCGTCCCATCTCCGACAGCGAGAGTTCCGTTGATGAGTCCGATGGCGGTGTGGAGGACGACGACGAGACAAACGATACCGAAGCAACCGAAGAACAAGCCGATGAAGGAGGCTCATTCATTGTGCCTGAGCAGTCGTCTACTCCACCGGCCAAACGGCCCAAAACGGCGTTTCACTTCACCTGTGCCGATTTAATCGCTGCCGTGCGACGCCATCGCAGTTCTTGGCCCTTCCAGGATCCTGTCAATGCAAATGAGGTAACATTGATTTTTCTTACTTCTGTTGACCCAAATTCCCAATTTCTGTGCTCCTCAAGCCTAACTAGTTAAATTTATGAATCCAATTTCAGAAAATCCGGCTTCCAGAATGAAGGAGTAATTTAAGATCCCCGATTTTGGCTGGTTTCGAAATTTTTGTTCCCCGTAAAATCAGTCGCATCTAAATTTAGTTCGATCAGCATTTAGTGTCTGTGTGAAAATTGTACAAACACTCAATTAAACTCCTTGTGGAAGTCCTTTACACCGGCTAAATCTACTTGCTTACGTGTAACTACCATTTGACTTTTAGGTTCCTGATTACTACGAGATCGTGGTGGACCCCATAGATCTCTCACAGATAACCCGTTTTCTGCAAGACGGTCGCTACGACGGCGACGATGGTCCACAGCTTCTGTCCCAGGACTTGGCAAAGATGTTCTATAACGCCGAGCTCTATAACAGCTCCGACTCTAGCATTTGGAAAGCAGGCGCTCAGTTGGAAAGCTACGTGCAGTCGCTCTTTAGAAAGTTTCCAAATCGTAAGTTTTGTGGGCACTAATTCATCTTTTGCAATGGTGTTGCTGCCCCTACCCGGTGCCACTTTCCTTCCTCAAGCCAATCCCTTTGCATCTGACGTCCTGCCTGTCAACTGATATTCCATCTGCAGCTATAGTCATTAATATGCTGCGGTCACTTCCAAACTTCCGTTGATACCCACTTCCAATTTTAGCATTTCCACCAATTGTAGTCCCAGGCTCATTCACATAACCATGGTCTGATGCCCTACGTTTTTTTAGAATCGTCGAGTAATTGTGACTCATTGCACTTCTCTTTCAACTTTTCAATTGTAGCTGTGAAATACAAGCGCGAGAAACTAAACTGAATCGGCCCTGCCATTTATATCCCTCGTCTAATATGTGTGTGTTTGTACTCGTTGCATTGTACTGTAAAGACTCCGATGGAATTTCTTATTGTGTGCGCTGCGCTGCGCCTCGCTGCTATATGCCATCCGTATCGGCCGACTTTGTATAGAACCTCCTTAACGTACTTTAACAAGACGGCTCATGTCATTCTCGTTCAGGAAGCCATTTCATCACTCAAACACCGAGATTTATACACCAATCCCAGTCCCCAACAGACTTATTTTATACGCCCATCCCCTGCCCACTCGGCGGGCGATGGAACCGATGATGCAGTTGCACCGGTAACCTCTATGTACTCCTTCCCCCTTATTTGAAAGTGTGCAGACCAATCTGTACGATTGCATTTATCTCAATATAAACACAATGCCACGTACTCCCTTCTTGGCTTGTCCCCTTTGCTCCTTTCCCATGTCGCATTGTACAGGCAATCCTACGTTTGTCGCCAAATTGAAGTGGTCTGGGTGTCGGCTGTTAGCACCCTCTGGAACGCCTTCAAAATTTTGCAGTTAGCGCACAGACTGACGCGCTGTTTATGCCCACCTAGGAATTATCTAGTCATTGCGTTGTGGTGCGCAGTTCAAGGGTTAATCGTGTGCTTGTGTGTGTGTTTATCAAAATTGGGAAGTAGTGGAACAGTGGGCGTAAATTTTTAGGGCCGTGGTTCCTCCACATTTATTGAAATCAGTTATCTCGAAAACAGATGTACGCACACGTAATGGTGAACTCTTTTCACCAAGACTGTGAACAAATTGGCTCCGTGTTACACCCAGCCGTATGAAACTTAACGCTAATCGCTTAAATACTTGCGAATTCTGTTTGAGTGTGAGTATATTTGTAACACTTGGGTGCTTGGTCTGGCCCCCCCTGCAATAGGCGATAATCGGCGCACGGCTTGGTGTCACCCTAACCGATCGATCCCCCGGCGTTGGTCTGAGTTACTTTTCGCAACAGCGCTTCTTAAATCGCGTTAACCGCTAATCGACGTCGAATTTGACTCATCTCGGAAAAAAGCACGCTCTGTTGTCGCGTTTAAGTCTTGATGGACTGCGGTTTAGGTTCAGTAATCCCACTGTCAGTGTGTGTCGCAAGCCTGTGAAGGTGGACTCCTGGAAGTGATATGTGACAATAAATCATGTTTAAACAAGTACATGGAGTTTGGTGGAATTAAGGCGCACCGTATCTCGATTCCTACCTTGCCATTGTAATTTCACAGCGCACTAAACCATAACCTTTGTCCAATGGATGGAACAGTTGAGAATTCAATAAGGATGACCAGTGTATTACTCATTTAAGTAGTAAATAACTTAGTCATTGATGCTGACAGTATTCTTAAGCGGGTAGTTGTAGTGAAGTTATCCATACGAGGAAGTTGAGCCCTTAGGAGCATTACTGCTGCTTCGGTTGCATCAGTGGGCTGACGTTTCCGTTTAAATGGAGAAAAGGGTTCAAGTGGGATTCATGCTCTCTTCTGAAATAAAGTATATTGGTTACGGGGATTGTAATATTTTCTTGAAAACGTTTGAGGAAGTTACGAACGCATTTCTATTTTGAAAAGCAAGTCGCGACGCTTTAAAATTCTAAGCAAAATCACGTTTAGCGAGGGAACGCCCTAGACCCGCTCGAAGATGCTTGAATTTGTCGCGCATACCTTGCCGCCATGGCCTCTTCACTACACCGACATTGGAAGCTGTTGAAACACAGGTGATTGATTTGCTACTTGACGAAGGCAATCATGGAACACGAGGCTGCAAGCCCACATCGTTGTCTTTGATTTCTGCGTGAGAGTGCTGACGCAAAAACACCAAATCTCTGGTAGAGCGACCGCACTCGAAGTTGTGCATGGATTTGTGACGCAGAATTGTTGTGGTGGGAGCGACGTTTCCAGGTCACGTAGGCCTTGACATCAAGGTCATTTTTTTTTCATATCTGTAATTTTAGCTGATCATTCATTTGGCAGAGCACATAAGTGGCATTTAATGGCCTTCGAGAACAGTGTGACTTGGGTAAAATTCATTGTCAGCATATCTCGGCAAGCAAGGGTTACACCGTTGAAAAAGTCATCCTAGAGACTTGGTAGACTGAGCAGAATTTAGCGCTTGTAAAATACTTCTGTCTTAACAACCATAGGTGTTTGAGATAATACCTATACGACATCACTTCTAACATTGTTGCTTGTTTTCATTTCTAATGAACTTGACCGGTAATTACACTGACGTTGTTTAGTGGGCATGACAATCAGAATCGACGGCAAATGAAAGTCTCTGAAGTCAAAAACCGAGAGAGGGAGATGGTACAATGTGAACTTGGACAAGACTTTAGGGGTCTATGTGAACTGGTGGAAAGCTCGTGTGTTTCAGCCGAAATAGAGCATTGCTTTCCAATGCTTATTGATAGGCACATGTGCGTGGGTTTCTCAGTGGTTTCGTGTGTCGGATCAGGACAACGTCTACTATTTCCACGCGCACAAGCCAATGTTACTTTGGCCTTGTCCTAAAAATGCTCAAACGGTAGTTTAAAGTTGCAACCATTTTAAGAAGCGTATTGAGCGCAGAAAGTTGTCTCGTGAGCCAATAAGTGGCTCGATCGATTCTTAAATCGAATCCTGAAATTTGCTGATGCTTGCCCATACCAGCAGCTACTGAACCATCCCTCTCCCGTTAAAAAAGAATGATATAACTACTGTTTGGATCTTCCTACGGCTCAGTTGTGTGCATTTCAAACAATACTAATTCCAAATACCGGTTTCCAGCTAATAACTAGTAACAAAAATCAAGTAGTACCTATCCAGGTTATGTCGAAATTTCGGGCTGCAGAAACTGAAATAGC